CAGAACTCCACCCTCTGCTGTTTAAGCAGTTTAGTGGATAGCATACTTGACTGGGAATCAGAATACCTAGATTATATTTCCAGTCCTACTACTATGTGACCTTGGGCAAGTCCCTTGACCTCTTTGTCATTAATGTGCCCACCTATAAAAGAGAGCTATTAAATGAGCTGTTACCCATCTTTGTAAGGTTTCTGGAGATCTGTGGATGAAAAATGCTGTGTGTTGTTATCTATTCATTATTATTAAACACCTGGATTAAATGTCTCTGAGATTTGAAAAGCCTTTATGGCCCTAGGTGCCCCAAAGATTGAGGTGCCTTTGTGATAGATAGTCCCTTACATCAAAAATCAACAATAGTATTCAGGTTACTCCCTGTCCCGAAGGACCAGTCACTTACCCCAGGACAGTTGCACGTTAGATCTCACAACAAAGACAATGCTTGTAGCCAATCCTATAATAATCTATCTAAAGATTTATTAACTAGGAAAAGGAAATAAGAGAATTGTATGCAAAGTTAAAGCAGGTAAACATACACAGAAATGAGTTAGTCTTAAGTTTCAAAAGGCAATAGAAGATTCTATAATAAGCAAGCTCTATATGTCCCTTATTGCTACTCCAGGCTGAACACTGGGGAATCTGTTGTTTATGCCTCAAAAATCTTGCCCTCAGGAATCCAAGCAGCACGGCAATACAGTTTCTTCTTGTGAGGGATTTTTATTTCCTTTCCCCTTTCTCTGAGCTGCCAGCTCAGCTGATGGGAGGAAATCACTTGCACGTCTCCTCTTCATGGGCAGGCTGGGGTGGCCGTGGGGTGGGGAGAACAATCAGCAAAGTCTTTTGTCCTCTGATGCTCCACAATAGTTTGTCTGGTGTCAATTGGCCTTCTCTATTGTGCAGGGCCTAACACTTTCTGTTGGAAGCCAGCATTTCACACTAATTCAGATCACTGTCCTGTCTGGTGATTTACACAGAGAGAATTGCAATACAAACACTCAAATATTGCCTTACAATATGGGATACAGGTATTGTAAGTGAGATTAAAGCATGCAGCAACTTACAAACATTCAATAAAGTCTAACTGCCAACTACCTTTTTATCACGCTCTATATTTTATAACTCTCTATTTTTTTAACAATACTAACACCCAGGTGAGCCAGTCTAATTCCAGCTATGTATTTGTCAGTATCCAAGTGAGACATTAAGACCTAAGCATAAGCTGATACCTGGGTTGCCAGCATCACAATCCTTCTTTTGATAGCTCTTAGTTTCCTGACATTACGTTAAAAAAAATACTCAAACTGACCTATATGTTGTACTTCTAGTTACTGCTGTATTGTAACATTGGGGGGAAATTCATCCGTGGTGTACTTGCCTGCAGCTAACAGTGGTACACCAGGAAGGAATTTGGCCCTTTAACTCTATTAGCAATGTTTTTGCAGGCAATGGCTTAGGGGTCAAAGTCACCATCAGCATTAGTTGTGTTGGGCTAGCTTGGTTTAGGAGACGGGGGAAGGAAACCCCTATCAATTAAAGTGCTGCTTATTCCAGGGAAGTTTTCATTGTCCGCCTTGATGGGTAGACTTAGGCTCCAATATTTAACTCTAGAGTGGTGTAGCTTTACCAACTGGGGACAGAGATCCGTTCAACCAAGTCTCTCCGGTTCCCAATATTTCTTCCCTTTGCGTGAGAACTTTATTCTTCACAGTCCGTGTAAGGTGCTGGCTTGTCCCCAGCTCACAAGGGACCCACTGCCACACCCGCTCCTGCTTCAGGGCCAAATGCAAAAATCTTCCTTGTTCTTTTAACTGACCACTGCCTCCCAGGGCTCTATCCCAGGAGGTACATTTCCCCCAGGCGGTTCCCTCTGCCATGCCTCCTGGACTTTGGCAGCCCACCTAGGGAATTCCCTGCAGCTCCACTTCTTCCTTCCTTATTGACAGCCTGGTTCTTCATTGCCACAACTGCTGCACTGCCCTCTTAAGTGGCCAAACTGGGAGCACCTGTTTGAGCACAAGGAGCTGGGGGCCTGTTCTTTTAAAAGGCATCAATCACCAGTGACAGAGAGCTATAATACACCCCTTCCAGATCATTAAGAAGTGGGTGCCTGAAGAAAAATGTTATCATAATGGTGGAGCTTTACATATATTTATCTAATCGGTATATCTAGCTAATCATCCACATACACACCCATATTCTTATCTCATATGGCCTATAAGAACTGTAAGCCCTTAACTCACTGTCAAAAGAAAGAACCAAATCATCTTATCACTTTAGCATGAAGGGAAGTTTCTAAAGTATAACTCTAAATATTTCTAAATTTTTGCCTGTGTGTGAGAGGTGAGGGAAAATCTGTTTTCCAGCCATGACCTATGATCTTGTCCCATCAATAAAATTTCTTTGTAATGATAAGCTATTGTGGTGAGGTTGATGGCCTTATCAAAGAAGGAAGCTGGCGTTAAATATGCAGGGCTAAGGTGAATTGCTTCTCTACAGTATCTTGCTTCTCTTCCTTTATTTAGGGTTAGTACTAGGTAAAGTTTGGGAGCCCTATTCAATACTATTACTACTAACAAAAAAAAGAAGGAATAGAATTCTTTTGTAACATTCGGCTAGTCTTGCAGTTATTTTATGTACATGTTGGTAACTTGCATAGACATGTGACTGAAAAATCTAATAAGGGGCCTCTGGGCATATTGTATCCTTTAAAAACGAAACATCCAGTAGAGCGCCTATATGGAGAAGGGCTATCATTACTGACCAATCTCCCACTCCAACCAAACAAAAAACAAAATCCCAAATACGAATCCCAAAGACTTGGGTGTGTTTACTGGGAAGATGAACCTTGCGATATATGCTGAAGGCCTGAACATTTGGGCTTCGTGAACAGTCAAAGGGAGTGAGTGTCACATGCGCTTCTGCCTCCAGAATTTAAATCCAGGGACTGTGAGCAGAAGTGCCTCCGATTGCTATAGCTATCATGACGGTGCACAGCATACGCTCTCGCTGTTTTGGAATTATGCTTCCTATGAATGGTGTATCTGTCTATCCAGGTTCTTGGCATTGGCACCCTTAGCTGTAGCAGAAGGTGCTTTTGGGGGGAATAATCTTTGAAGTGAAAACGATGGGAAATGTCATTTCCCCCCCTGAATGGCTAATCTGATGTTCCCTTTCCTGCTGCAGGGTGAGTGTACTGGATTGCAGAGCACTGGGGAGACACCCCATTGTGGATGCTGGAGAAGCACGTACTTTGCTGCAGCTACCCTGCTACTTGAGAGGGAGCTAAAGAGGGTGAGTTAATACAAAATGCTGACAGTGCAATGTACTGACAACACGAAGGCTGAGCCTTAAAAATTAGTATTATTAATTATGTTGACTCCGCTTTGTACGAGAAGAAATCCTGACCAGTCATTAAATATTACCAAAGACAAACTGCAAAGCAGTGAAAAATAACCTGCGAACTTTAAACTGTGATGCCCTTGGTTGCATTGGCACAAAAGAATGCATTCTCTTGCGATCCTTAACCCCTTTATTGGCTTAGGAGGTAAAGCATATATCCAGCAAGGGAGGATTTGTATTGGTCCATTGACTGTGAGGGTCAGGCATCCATTGTTGCGCTATCAGCAATATTTGTTGAGTGGTTAAAAAGACATGAATGTTCCGGAGCTGCTGGTGTGGCAGAACTTGTTTCATACTGTGAGGGAGGCTAAGGAACTGATCCTTTTTAAGTGCTTGTTTACAGTTGAAAATTAATTCAGATTAAGGTGCAGTGTGAATTTAAAGCACCATAGCTATTCCAGAATAACTCCATGTGTGACTATCCTTTCTGGAATCAGAGTGCCTTATTCCTGTTTAGCTTAATTAATTAATGAATTGATTAATAAGATAAACAGGAACAAGGCACTCTGATTCCAGAATAAGAGCATCTGCACATGGAGTTGTTCACGAATAACTCCATGTGTAGATAACCCCTTAAACAATGGGGCTTGCAGGAGGCTTTGCAGAACCAGGCTCTGAATTCACTCCTAAAGTTTGATGGGGACTGGGGTATCTGGAAGATTGTGCTTTGAAATCCTTTTACAAGAAGACTGCCAAAGAGGGATATACAGTGGACTTATCAGAAGCTACGTTTTCTTCTTTCTCTGCCATATGTAAGGAAGCCATGTCTGTCTGGCTAGAGGGGTGTGGCTTGTAAAGGATTAAAACAGTTCAAGGTTTGTTTCATACATGGCTATAATACCCTTTCAGACACCTCTGAAGCCATGCTGCCAGTAAGAACACACAAAACACTCCTTAATTAAAGAGCAATTGGGGCTTCTAACCATGCAATTTAGCCGTAGCCTGTTAAATTTTAATTCAATTTAATACCCTGAAAGTATATTCACTTAAAGGGCCATAGTGTGCCTGAAAATGTGGTACACCTGGTAATGGCTGCAAGTGGGAACAACTTCAGATACACCAGGTAGTGCACAGTGTTGTCTGCTTGGCTGCCACAGTTAGGTTATCTCATAAAAATGGAAGCGACTAAGTAAGAACAAAGGGTCTAGGTCTCTGTCTCCACAGTATGAAACAGTATAAGGTCTGGGCTGCTTTGCTTTATCTTTCGTTGGACTTTTAGTATATTAAGGAGTGAATTAGACTGAAGTTGCTGCACTTCCATAGCCTCCAACCTTACCATAATCCTAAGGAGATGAACAAATACGTCCTAAATTCCCCTATATTCCTCCCCTCCTATCCCTCTTCTGTCTTTTTGCCATGCAGTCCATCCACGCCTTTCTCTTGCTCACAGAAGCCCACAGTTGTGGGCCAAATCCTCCATCCCAAGTGGGGTACGCTGCTGCCTATTCTGCAGGCCTGTCCAAAGCTCAGTTATTACTCCCTTAATAACCGCACCTATTAGTTAATGATTAGTTGCAGGATTGATGTTTAATGAGAGGTTTGATGTGTTAATATTTTTACAGCACTTTGATGCTGTGAAGCACTATATAAATGTTAAATATTCTCATGGTCACGGCATAGATTGTGGAGCTATCGCTTCCCATGATGACTGAAGCCTGGGCTTCAGGCTTACAGGGCCATGAGAAGAATAGTGAGGACAGTAAAATATTGGGCTGAGTGTCTCCGGTTTTTGACACATGCTCAGTAACCTGCAGAACGTGGGCTTTCCTTCCTTCATGCTTACAATGGGTCTCTTGAGTAAGAGTTAGTCAAGCTGTAGGTATGTATGAACGGTCACAGACCAACTCAGATAAGGCTTTGCAAGTGTGCTAGCAGCCACTTGCTGCATGCTTACAAGGAAGAAAGAAAAGGAAACACCAAAGAACGTATCCTGCTTAAGGATATAAACTTAAGATCAAAAGTTTGCCTGTGTTGTAATGGCCAAGGTAACTACTGGGAGAAGATCGTGTTTTTGATAACTTGTTAGTGATATTTAATCGTGTGTTGGATGGGAGGATAGGCAGGGAGGGCTATCCGTGATTTCTTTCCTCCCTGGCTCTCCATCGCTACCCTATCTGTGTGTTCTTTTCATGTACCTCTCACTCTTCTTAGTTTTAGATTAAAACTTAAGGTGACAGCATCATGGTTCTGCCATCTCTGAGCTGGGTCTGAAATATTAATATGTGTCTGTAAAGAGTTCTTGCCACGGTAAGTGGAATGGAAAAAGTTAAAGAATTCTACTGCCTTCATTTGTTCTGTTCTGTTTTATTTTTTTTGTCCTTGCAGCTCTGCATTGCATTGCTATAAACAGTGCATACTTTGCCTTTGCATGACCCCAGAGACATAAGGCTAGAAGTTCATGCAGACCCCATCAGTGCCAGTGTAGGTTACAAAGTTTTACCTCCATGAGAATCAAAAACACATAAGATATAAGTATAAAAAATGAGAGAAACAAGGTCTGCCATATGTATATCCTTTGAAATTCCAGAAACTAATAGTGTGGGGTGGTAAATCTGTAAATGGTTGATTCCTGTTCAGTGCTCAAGGGGAACGTGAAGATACTCCAAGGACCCTGCTAATATGCCGTGGGCAGAAATTATTTCCCTATCCCCACTTTGGCAGTTGTTGTATCCCTGTTACATAACATCTGGACCATAATGGTGATGGTACTACAGATGGTTTTAAACAATCCTCTCTCAAAAGGTTTTGAATGTCTCTGTTGGAGCTGCCCAGATCTCACACAGATCTGTGCTGTTCAGTCTTGCCCCTACCAGTGATCCCCAGGAGGCACTGAGATGGGATGCTTTGGGGGCACATTATGCTGCTGTTGATGATGGAATAATGATAGATATGTAGGAGCCGATAAACATCATTAAATTATTTCTGAATGTTTCATGAGATGCTACCATACTGAGAGACAACATGGGCTGGGGTAGGATGTTTGCCATAGAGTTAGGACTGCTGGGTTTTTATTCTTGGATCTGCTCCTGGCTTCTGGTTGACCTAGGGAAAGTTGCTTCAGCTCAGTGCCTCAGTTTCCCCATTGATAAAATGGGGATAATACTTAATGTACCTACTTTGTAAAGCACTTTAAGATATATACATGAAAAAAGCTTGGTGTTGGTGTTATTATTATTATTCTATTACCAAAGGTCAAGGCTTCCTACAACTTGGGGTCCCCAAGCTGTGGCCCCATCAAACCTGCTATTAGTCCAGCTCTGATCACTCATGTTTAGGGAGACCCCCTAAAAGTATCAACAGAAGTGCTGATTAGTAACTTAAGCTCTGTCTTGTGAATGCAGCAAACTATTATAGATTGTCTCTCTTATTTAAAAGCACAAACCTCTTTTATAAAAACAGTCCACCAAGAGCGCAGTCAGAGAGATGTGTGTTAGTAGCTGTGGACTTTGAACCAAGTGGGAGATATATTACTTGCTGAATACTTTGAAAAGCAGAGGTTTGTTGTGTGTGTGCATCTGTACTAGATGTGGATGGGGAGGTTGATAGGAAGGAGGTTATTGGAAGCCTTAAGTGACAGAAGATCCACCAGTCAGATTAAGCAGCTGCAACTGTACTGCAATGTCATTCTCAAAGGATGGATGTGGAAAAGGTAAATTACTGGACTGTTGATTTGGAGAATTAAAAAAACCCCTCATTGGGGTTAAAACCCCTCCATTTCAGTCGCGTTCTATTCAGGTTTTAACACTGTCTTCGTCACATTCAACATTTGCTGCTTTCAACTACTCTTGCCAGTGGCTCTCGAGCTGGGTTATCTTGTTGAAATCTGTATCCCTTTAACAAACTCTGTCACAGTGCAGCAGTATGTTAGATGCATCCGATAATATTGAATCTTTTTTCTTAATGATGCAGCCTGCTCCTTTTTAGGATAAAAACGCTGAGCCTTCCTCACTACCTAAGGACTGTTGTGTTTATTTTTAACTTTGATATTTACATGGGAAAGGATATTATTGAGTAGTACTGCATTCCTCATCCAATATAAGCATACAAAAGCCATCTGAATTTTTTGAAGTGCTGATTATAGATCATTATCTGGTATTAACACAGTCATCATCAGTGGAAAGTAAAATTTAATTAAATACATAAAAAAAGAACTATAAATGTCGGTTAATTCTTAAACAAATATATTGCTCTATCAGGCTAAAATAGCATAAGACAAAGAGATCCTGAATTCTTTCATTTCTTACATTATAAAGAGACCATAGCATTATTAGAAGAAAAATAGAATAATTAGGTTACTTACAGTTGTATACCATTTAAATCAGCATAGTAGACAGGCAAAGAAAATACATTTTTACTGAATCTTTATTTCTAATTACATATAGAGGTAAAGTAAAACCTCTTGGATTTTCTTGGGGTGAAAAAATACTATAACCATAAAGGTAAAATAAAACAAAACAGTCAGAATAAATCCACTTGTGATACCAAGCCATAAATGACCTGAGAGAGAAACAAACAAATACATACCTCGGATTTATCATATAGAAGCATTAAAGAGTTAGAACAGAATACAGTGCTATTCAAAATTCAAATAATCAAATATGAGTAACCGTGATACCCCGTGGTGGGCAGAACAGCATGGTCTTCTTACCTTCTGTTGCTGTCTTGGCAATGTGCAGAGAGAGCAGAACAAGGAAAAGCAATTCCATTATCTATCTCCTATTTTAGATAAGATCAGTGAGGAGGCTAGAATCAATTAGTATGTGATCATATTTCTGCTCTGGGAGTTTTTATACAGGAGTAAGGAGTCATGGTCAGTCCTGATAGCCGTAGTCAGGAAGGTGAACTCCACCCCTTTTTAATTTCTCCAGGTATACACGACTCCTGATTTGCTTTAATTTATTTAATTTCTCCCAAACTGGAATTGTAGAAGGGCTGAGATTTTCCAGCACTAAATAAGTGTCTGGGGCTAAATGACAGATATTTTACTGACTGGGCAGATATCTTGTAGCCTATTAGTTTAGTGTTTCATTTCTATCCACTGAAAAATAGCAGCTTCTCTGATAGTGCACATGATCTTCAGATTAAGTGAAAGTATGTCCATTATGGTCAATGCTTTGTAAAAATAAGAAGCTACTCAGACTTGGAGCAGGGTTAAGAGACTGAAAAAACAGGCTCTCTTTGTGCAATTACAGTCAATGTTTTATGCAGTGCCACGTGGCTTTCATGCATTTTGCCGGGCACTTTATGTGTGTCTAGCTTTCACTTGGTACAGTTAAATGAGAGCGAAACTTTTTCAGTCAATGTTCCTTTTTTTAACTATCAGAAAGTGACGCAACGCTTCTGATTGCTGTGCTGTGCCATGCTATGCAGGCTCTTATACTGCCGTATCACCGTAGTGTTGGAGTGCCCTGATTCAAGGTGCCTGATTCACAGACAGGCTTTATGCTCAGCCAGTAGAGGTGTGATGAACAAGTCTACTAGCAAATGGCATTTCCCTTCGTATATTGTATTGTATGCATCTGAGTTAGGGCCAGATTATGACCCAGCCATGCATGAAAATAAAGGGTAAAGGAGAGCTGGTTTAGAGGGAAAAGTAAGGGTTACCAAGTAAAGATCTGCAATACACTTCTCCCCATGCACCTCCCGGTGCAATTACTTGCCCGAGCATCACCCTGTATGAATGGAGCCTTTACACTGGAAACCCCTGGTGCGGGAGCAGTACATAGTAAACAATAATAACGGGCCAGATCCTGCAGTCTCTTCTTAGTCTGTACTTGGGCAGATCTCCCTTTGCTTTCAGTTGGTGTCTTTCCTGAATAAGGTTTGGGGCCAATAATAACAATTTAATATCTCCCAGCTGATCTGTGATGCACGGGCCTTTGTTTCCCCCCCCCCTCCCCCCGAGAGATGATGACTATAAATATAGTTGTAACAATGAAGGGTTGCTGAGTGCTATTTTTCCATCCCGGATTAGGTAGATTTTAGAAACATGAACGGACAATAATGAACCCAGCACCTGGTGCTGAGCTGAATTGTTACTGCAGTGACCATAACAAAAAGGGGTGTGTGTGTGGGGTGGGGGGGGGTTGTGGTAGTTAGACTT